GAAGTTTATATAGGGATTTGTTCAATTAAGTGATAAAGATAATAGTTTGTATGAATTTTTCATTTGTTTAAAGTTTAACTAGTTGAATTTTAGGTTTTTGAATGTAAAACAATACAAAAACTGAAAATCCTAATTTTAATATGATAAAATTGGAGTTCATTTGTTAGTGGTTTTTAATAATTTTGGTGTTAAAATATCGATAATAAACTTGTTTATTGCGTAGATAGAAAAATAACAATAAAATTAAATCTTATTTAACATAATTAATTTTTTAATTTAAACAAATCAAATCATATAACCATATCTTATTTATTTGCTTAAATAANCTCAATTAACTCAATTCTCATATATATATATATATATATATATAATATTTTACCCAACTACAATTCACCAATACCTCAATTAACTCAATTCTCATGATGCCATCTCGATACCTATTGAGTTTTCTTTTAATATATATATATATATATATATGATTATAAAAGTAATTTATTTTTATTTTTATATAATAAGATTTGTTTTATAAAAATAAGATCATCCAAATAAGATAAGATAACCTGATGAGTCAAGCCCTTTGAGTTAATACAATAAATCTCATCTTCTTTCTTATACACGTGTTCTTATCCCAATCTTTTAATTTCTCATCATTGTGAGATATCTTAAATTCAACAATAATTCACCAACACCTCAATACTTCTTGGATTTTCCTTTAATATATAGATTACTTTAATTAACCTATAACCCTTTTTCTAATTCTTATACTCTCAAATTTAAGAAGAAAAGAAATGAGTTTTATTGATTTAAAATTATTTTATATAATTTTTTTAAGAACAATTAAATCATAAAATTATATCTTTTCTTATTTATTTTGATATTATTAATATATATATATATATATATATATATGTATGTGTGTGTTATTATTTTTACTTTCTTATAAGAAAAAGACAAAGCAATAGATAAAAGAATAAAATGCTCTTAGATTTAACGGAGTTAATGTAGACGCTAGTCAAAAGGGCCATGAACAAGATAAATTGAATACTAAAAGGACCAAACCCATCATAAGGACCCTCCTAAAAGAATATGAAAACACAAAGTTCAAATCTACAATTCACTTTTTTTTTTTTACCTTTTACCAATTTTATTTAAAAGACAATTGTATAATTTATACATTATATTTTAGTCCATAAAAATTGAAAGAATATACCGAGTAAGGGACTGTTTACCAAACACTTACCCGGTTTAGTGCTTACTAAGTCACATTACCTCACCGGATGAATATGGTAAGGATTAAGAATCTTACCTGGTAAGAGCGAGACAAGGACCATGAGTCTTACTCGGTAAGTGAGAACGGTGACTCTTACCACGGTAAGTGCTTACCAGATGAATTGTTGTATACAATGTCGTTTTAATGGATTAAAATCTTACCCAGTAAGTAAATAATAATGTTAAATTTTATCGATAAGCACTTATCGAGCAAGTGTCTGGTAAACGGCCTTGAGTTATGTTTTTCGTGCCCGTGGTTCTTTCTAACATTTACAACAAACTGATGTAGTATGGGGTTGGGAATAATCAATGTCCGTAGTGAGTTTGAAATTGGCAGATGGTTCCAGAACTCCTGTCTGACTTGACTTTGATGACAAATAACTGCTTGCATAAGATAATAAAAGGTCATCATGTTCACCCATTGGCCATGGATATATATTATATGATTATGCATGCATTTGTCTCCGGGGTTGTTGGGTCTGAAGGAGAGTATGGAGCAATAATTTTCTATTTAAGACACTAATACGCCATCTTCACATCGAGTCAACCCATAATAGCAAGAAATCTCGAGATGAGCGATTCACCAAGTGCGCTTGATATTTCTGCAGGAAAACAAGACTCGAAGGACCAGGACGCATCAAATGGTGATAAAAAAAAGTCTCTGGAGATGGCCGATCCTTGTGGTGCACGAATAGAAGACTTGAAGTACCTGTACGCATCAAATGTTAACGTCTCCAACTTTGTTTCCGAGAAACTTTCCGGCGACCGAAAGTACCATGTCTGGAAGGCGCAGATGGTTTGCCTCATGGAGACTCAGAAAATGCACGGCATCGTAGATCCCAAATTTGTTGGTCCGGAGGCCAAGGACGCAGATATCGTCAAACAGTACGACAATCTTCTGAGAGGTTGGATTTTTGGGTCACTGAGCGAAGATGTACTAAGCACTGTTGTAGACCTCGATTCTGCAAGAGCTGTTTGGAAGAA